CGGAGAACCACGTCACGAAGTCTGTGCCTTATCTGAGCTCAACTGCCAGTGCTGTGGAAACGTTTTTTTAAAAAAAAACTGTTTGGATTCATGAAATAGATTCTGAAATTTACTAGGATAATTTACGTTTCTTTTTTTCTTGCAATTTAATGCCAAAAGTCTTTCATGTGCCTTAAATCCATTAGTATATATTGTCCCCTTTAATAAACACTTTGAACTAAAATTGTATTGCCTCTTTAATACAATATTTTAAGCAATTGCGGAAATAAAACGTATTTTAAGAGAGATAATTTCTTTCCTAGAAACCAGTACTGTCAGAAGTGTGGACTCTGCTAACAGTAAGACAGAAGTAAAGCAGCGTTCATCTGTGAATACCCTTCAGTACCCTTATGTCATGAGGGGCCACGGGAACGTTACAGTAAAGGTTCTGAATGCAGAGGAGTCATTGGCCTCTTTTTGCTGCTTTGCATCTACTGTTCCCACTCAGCTGCTCAGCCAGCTTCCCGGCAAGTTCATGGTGCTCAGGTGATAGGCTGTAATTTGTTTTTAAAGCCGTGAACTAGGCCATAATCATTCACATTAAGTTGGTTTTTTTGAGACAGTCTCGCTTTGTTGCCCAGGCTAGTGGAGTGCCGTGGTGTCAGCCTAGCTCACAGCACCTCAAACTCCTCCTGGATTCAAGCAATCCTTCTGCCTCAGCCTCCTGAGTAGCTGGGACTACAGGCATGCGCCACCATGTCCGGCTAATTTTTTCTATATATATATTAGTTGGCCATTAATTTCTTTCTATTTATAGTAGAGACAGGGTCTCGCTCTTGCTCAGGCTGGTTTTGAACTCCTCACCTCGAGCAATCCACCGCCTCAGCCTCCAGGAGCGTGATTACAGCGTGAGCCACACATTAAGTTTTTATGAATTTTCATACACACCTTCTGCTAGAGCAAAGAATGGTTAGAAATGGTCTATATTCTGACAATATAAACATGAACCCAAGGGAGTGGAATCACTCTTGTATGTCATTATCGAAACTAGAATGAAACCCTGATGAGTATGGATTTACTGTTTGTGTTCTTGATTTTTTTGTTGTTCAATATTTAGATTATTTCATTATTTAATGGTGCTATTTATTACCACCCAGCAATAAAATTATGTCTGGTCCCTTTTAAAATATTTAAATTCAGACTTCCTTTACCTGTGTATATCTTAATCCTATAGTTTTATTTTGAAATGACTTCTGTTTTGCAGAAGGGTTGCAAAGAGACTGCACAGTTTCCATACACCCTTCACCCAGATGCTTCCTAAGTGATCTTATATAATAACCACAGTACATGTATCAAAACTAAGAAACTGACATTGATAATGGTGCTATTCACTAACCTACAGACTTTATTCAGATCTCCCATTTTTCTACTGTCCTGTTTCTGTTCCAGGAGCCAACCCAGGTTACCAGATTGCACTTAGTCATAGTGTCCCCTTGGTCTCTGATCTGATAGATGTTCAGTCTTTCCTTGCCTTTCATGACCTGGACACTTTGGAAGATACTGGCCAGGTACTTTACATGTCCCATAATTGGGTTGTCTGAGTTTTCTCATTAGGAGTGCGATTATGTTTTTAAGGAAGAACACTACAGTGATGAAGTGCCTTCTCATTTACTCGTGTAGTATGTGGCATCAGCAGGACCAACTACCTCGATCATTTGCGAGAAGGTTGTGTTTGCCATGTTCTTGTCCGCACAGTCCTTGTCCTTTCCAGTCTGTTAACAGTGAGCCACTAAGCCCAGCAGCCTACCACTCAAGGGTAGGGAAGTAAGCTCCTTTTGGAGGGAGAGTGTCAAAGAATTTAGGGGCACCTATTAAGACTACCACAGTAATTAATGGGTATTGGGGGGAGATACTTGGACGTTAGACAAATTAAGGCCTTTTTAGCAGATGGAGCTAGGAATCTGTCTACCAGCCTGTGGATGGCAAATATGTACGATGTCTCTGTATTTATCAGTGTCTAGGACGCGACAGAAACATGAGTCTTACTGTTATCTCTGACACCCGCCTAGCACCTGGGGTTCATCTAACATTCACTCTTGCTATTTTTAACTGCTTTTACTGACATAAATCTGGTTCACATTACCTTATTAAGTGTTCAAACCTAGTATATTAATACACATAGTTTCAGAAATTGCTAAGTTGAACAACTGTGTGTAGTTCATTTTCCCTTAGCTACAGCATCCAAGTCAAAACACATTTTCTTGAAATATTTAGATCAGTCCCTTTCTTTGCCCACCTCTTCAATGACGGTATGCCATGATATAGTATGTATGTGGTCAGATCACTTGTTCGAAACAACCTCAATTTCCTACTACTGGAAAACTCCCCACCCCTCCCCCAATATCTGGTTGATTTTTATTTTAATGTACAAAGTCACTCTTAGAGTGTACAGTCTGGGTTTTGGACAAGCCATACCTCATGGCGATCTGCCACCACAGTTGCTTGTGGAAGAACCACTTATCCCCATAAAAATTCCTTTGTTGTAACCCCTTTCACAGTGAACCCTCTTTCCCCCCATCCCTCAACCATGGCAAACCACTGACTCTTTTCTACCCTAAAGTTTTACCTTTTCCAGAATGTTATTAAAATGGAAGTGTAAAACAGCCTATTTGGGTCTGGCTTCTTGACATAGCACAATGACTTAACTTCATGTATGTTTGTGTAATTAGAAAGTTCATTTTTTCTTTATTTCCTGAGTGGGGATTCCACTGTATAGAGATGAACCACAGTTTGTTTATCCACTCTGTGTGTAGCATCCTGGTTGTTTCAAGTTGTGTGATTACAGATAAAGCAGCTTTTGAATAACAATCACCGGTGCAGTTTGTTTTCGTTTCATTTTGGTGACAGTGGCGATTGCTGTAAGCAAATAGTAAGCTCTGTGAAAAAAAAAAAAAAAGAAAAACACCTTCTTTCGCAAAGGACCTCCTATTTTGCATTTCCACCAGCAGTAGATAAGAATGACTATCTCGTTATACTTGGCATCACTTGGTATTGGCAGCTTTTAAAAATTTAACGTCGATTCTCTAGGTGTGTTGTGAGTGGTCATTGATGACATTAATGGTATTACTCTAATTTTAATAACATGGAGCATCTTTCTATAGTTTTGTTTTTTGGTTTCTGCTTTTTTCTGTTTTCCTTTTTTTTTTTGTTTCTTTCCGTCTGTAATTGTCTTTCATTCTTTTAGTACTGTCTTTTATAGGCCAAAAAGTCTTAATCTTGATAAAGTTCAAATTTAGCTTTTACTTTATGGGTTGTGCTTTTGATTGTTTTAGGGGCTTAAAATTCATGTTCTAAACCAGAGATCACACAGAATTTCTTCTAGAATGTTACAGTTCCACACTTTAATATAGGTCTGGTGATCTATTTGGAGTTTGCTTTTTTTATATAGTGTGAGTATTATGGGGGGTTGGTATTTGGATATTAATTTTTCCAGACCATTTGTTGAAAGATTATCCTTTTTCTGTGATGTGCTTTGCACCTTTGTCCAAACTCAGGTGACCTCTATTTGTGTGGGTCTGTTTCTAGACTATGTTCTTCCATTATGTCTGTCATTTGCTCATACATACTGCTGACTACTATGAATTAAATGTCTTGAAAAAAAAAAAAAAAAAAATTCATGAATGTGACTCCTTCAACTTTGTTCTTTTCTGAATTGTTGACATATTTTGTTCCTTTGTTTTTCATATAAAATTGTAGAAATCAGTTGTTGATATCTACAGCAAAGCTGTTGATTTGATTATGGTTGTGTTGACTATAGGATCAACTGGGAAAATAACATATCCAAATAACATTAAGCCTCTAATCCATGAATACAGTAATATCATCCTAGGTATTCATGCGGAGTTGTTTCCGAGACACTCAAAATCCACAGATGCTAATCCCTCATATAAAATGATGTAGTATTTGCATATAACCCATGTAAATCCTCTCACAGGCATACCTCATTTTACTGTTTTGCTTTATTGTGTTTGGCAGATACTGTTTTGTTCGTTTTTTTGTTTTTTTACAAATTAAGGGTTTGTGACGACTTGAGTTAAGCTTACGTCTGTCGTGCCATTTTTGCAACCATCTGTTTTCACTTTGTGTCTCTATTCATGTTTGGCATTCTCACGATATTCCAAACTTTTTTATTGTCTATACTTTAATGTGATCAGTGATTTGATGGTCTATTGTAATTGTTTTTGGACACTAAAAACTGTCTCCATACAAGACAGTGGAACTTAATCATAATTTGTGAATCTGACCGCTCCAATCGACTGGCTGTTCCATCTCTCCCTCTCCTCAGGCCTCCCTATTCCCTGAGGCACAACAATATTGAAATTAGCCCAATTGATAACCCTACGATGTCTGTAAAGGGTTCAAGTGAAAGGAAGAGTCACAATTCTTACTTTAAATAAAGCTTAGCGAGGAGGGCATGTTGAAAAGCCATTATAGGCCAAGAAGCTACTTACTAGACTGTGCCAATAGCCAATTGTGGAATTGTAAAGAAAAAGGTTTGTAGAAGAAATTAAAAGTGCTTACTCCAGTAACACATGCGTAAGGAAAGTAACAGCTATTGTTGATATGGAGAAATTCAATGGTCTGGATAGAAGATCAAACCAACCCTACATTCCCCTTAAGCCAAAGCATAATCTGGGCAAGGCCCTAACTTCTCCAATTCTAGAAGCCTGAGGAGAGTTGGAGAGAAGCTGCAGAAGAAAAGGTTTGAAGCTAGCAAAGTTGGTTTGTGAGGTTTAAGGAAGGAGCTGCAAGGTGAGAGCAAGTTATCCAAGAGACCTAGCTAAATCATTGATCAAGGTGTCTACACTAGCACAGATTTCCAGTATAATCAAAACAGCCTTCTATTAGAGTGCCATCTAGGATTTCATAGCTAGAAGAGAGAATCATGCGGCCAAAGCTAAAAGGGGACAAGCAACGTACTTTAAGTTGAAGCATATTCATTTACATTCATCCTAGGGCTTAAGAATATCCTAAATCTACTCTGTCCATGCTCTATAACTGAACAACAAAAGCCGGATGGACGCATATTTTACAGCATGGCGTACTAAATATTTAAGTCCACATGAGACCTATTGCTTCAGAAAAAAGACTCCAAAATATACTGCTTTAGACAACACACTTAGTCACCCAAGAACTCTTGATTGAGGATAACTGCAGGTGTGGTAGAAAATAGCCAGAACTAGA